GAATACGAAGATCTGCACGATCTCCTGCATGCTCATCTGTGGATATGGGTATAAATACAATAACTTGTTTGTGAATTAATTAGTTCAGTTTACCATCTCAGTTTTCCTCATCTTAGTTTTCCCATCTCAGTTTCTCATCATGTCTGCTCTTTACGGACGTCTGGTCCAGCTCGAACCAATCGATGCTTATCTTAGGATTAAAATAGCAGTTCAAGTTCCATTTGAGCTAAAAACTCACTCGTTTAATGTTTGGGCGAAAAATATCAAGAGGATGGCAAGGCGATTGTTAGATAAAGATGTAAGTACTATTTGATGATTTTTTTAAATTGTGATAGATGACATGCTCATTCTCTATATCATCTCCAATTTAGATCTGTTACTTTAGCAGTTTGCTAATTAAGTTTAGTACTATTGTAAAACGTTACTTTATTTTTTCTTAAAATCTCTGTTTCCCTGTTTTTATTATGTTGAGTACGTTACTCAAATTCGATATTTTCTCAGGTGGAGGCAACTTATGTCATGAATGGAAATTTCAAGAACATCAAATCCATAAAAGAGCATGCAACATATCTATGTCCGAGATGCCGGACTACACTACCGCTGAATGATGCACAGACATCATGTTCAGAATGCACAGCCATCACGGATGAAGAGATCCCCGACTTTTTCTGTGAGAAAGTGAAGATCATTTCAATAACCAATAAAAAACTCAAATATAGCAAAGCTATATGCTTTAGAGCTGAATTTAATACCGAAACTATCCAGTCAGAAATGATTTTTGAAAGGTCCTCTCTCTATGATGAGGTAATACTTTAACACGTTACGGATAATGAAGATAAAACGTCACCTTATTTTTTATGGTCACGTGATTATCCTACTCGTGAATGTATAATTGGTTCAAGATCGAGAGGACGGTGCAGATGTACGCTTCTCGTTGGTTAAACACGGTTCATGCTACATGTGTTTATGTCATGTAACCCTGAATGGATAAACTTGATTAATTCACCATAAGTCATGACGTTCTGTCATGTCACATGATGCTAAAGTTAAACACGTTACGGGTAATCTGCTTGACAAACCGTTTAATCAGACTTTAGATCCTTTAGTCGGGATTATTGATTGATTCATCATGACGTTCTGGCTCCTCATCTGCAATACTCCACTATACCTTGCCAGACAATATCATTGTATAATCTTTTTTTCTTCTTAATGTTAACGCTAATTCTTTACATGTTTTTTTCTCTTTTTTGTCTTAATTTTTTATAATTTGTTTATATTAACAGGCTCCTGAAAGTCTGAACTAAAAAAAGGCAACTGCTCGAGCGAGGGGTTCTAAATTTTAAATCATTCTCGATTTTTTTAAATTATGATCAATACCAAATGAATCGACTCGTTTCCGACTGGATCATTTCCAACAAATCGAGGAATAAAAAGGGAGGACGATCTAGTAACTCAAGCAAGGAGGCGCGTTCCCAAATCCTTTCCGCTGCTATGAAGGCGACACCCTTTTCGATTGTTTGCCGTATGTACTAAGATTTCCAGATCGATCCAATGATAAATATAGAGCAATATTTATAATCGAAATTAAAGCAAATCTTGAGAAAATGTGCTTAGCGAGAGGTGAGGCCATGCAAAGGACGTACATGGAAGATTGCAGGGTCTTATCGATCTTGTTTCTGAACAAGCGATGTATTCAAGCAAGGCCAAGGTAAATAGGTATACCCTTATTTCTCGCGAGTTCCCACTTTACGATGATCTTTTTGCGAAACTAAATTATAATTATATTTTATCCACTTTTCTTTCGAAAGAAAAAACAATGGTTCATAGTTTATAAATTATTCGTTATCATCTCCTACAATTTCCTCACAGGTCGGTAGGTCAAAAGATGAAAAAAGATTAAACATTTAACTTCTCTGTCAATGGATAGATCAAAACGCAGAACACGGGGTTTTCGCTTTAGCGTTTCTTCATCGCAAGCTTCAGTCGTTGTAGATGAAAATGACGGCATCAAATACTGTTACCATCGGAAATATCTCAAAGTTAAATTACTTGATAAGTACAAAGATAATCGACTTTACAAATTAAAAAATAAAGGCAGATGTTTTCTGTTTTACCATCGATTTACCAATTTACGTCAATTTACTACAATAGATTAGTGATAATAGAGAAGCGTGATACGACTAAATATGCCGTATAAAGAA